CACGAGGAGTGGATTTCAGAAATCACTAACTTTGCATTATTCTCTGAACTATATATTTTAATTATCTTTTTGTTTTATTCATTTTTTGTAATATTGTATGCTATTGACTTTATGCTATATAATTAAAGTCACAAGTTTTCATTCAACTGGACATTTTTGATGAAGATTATATAATCACCTTAAGACGATTATAGAGGTAAGTGTCATCAAGAAAGAAGTTCTAACAGAGAGAATTAGACTTTTTAGGTACCCACAACAAGACAATTACTTAGAATTACAATTTGTTTTAAAAATGAGTTCGGTAACTGACAAGTCTGTTTCCAGAAATCTTCCAGGACAGCATCTGATAGTCTCCTCCCACCAGAAATATATCATCCACACCAAATAAAAAGTGATCCAATACTAGCATGCCTCAGTTAATAAAAAGAACCGAAGGATACCCCAAAGCATAGAAAAAATATGTACATTCCCATGGCCGGGAACCATGCTGTCCTGGAAGATTCCTGGAAACCAAAGTTACCAGGTACCCAACTCAGTTTTTCCCCAAGCTATCTTCCAGGACAGCATCTGAGAGAATAGGCAAGAAACCATACACACATGGCTTGGGGGGGGGGACGACTGCTTGCAGGACCCAGGACCTTTCTACCAAATGCTAGGTTTTGATTGGCAAACACAGCAATACGGTAGAGCTTGACAAACGTATGGAAGCTGGTCCAAGTGGCTGCCCTGCAGATTTGATCTGGGGTTGCCCTTGCCCTTTTGGACACTGATGAAGCCTGCACCCTGGTAGAGTGTGCTGTCACATTCTCCGGTGGAACCACGTCCTAATGTATATAAGCCTCTGAGATGGCCAGTTTTATCCATCTGGCGATTGTGTTCCTAGATGCTCGAAGACCCTGTTTAGGCCCTGAAAAAAAGGACAGAAATTGCCGGATTTTCTCCAGCTCCTAGTCTTATCTAGGTATTCTAAGATGCCTCTTTGGACATCTATACCACTCAGATTTTCTTCTTTATTAGCTGGATCAGGATAGAAGGAAGGAAAAATTACTTCCTGTAAAAACAGGATTTGGTTTGAGTATAATTCTGTCATCATGGATGACACAGTAAGGTTTTGCTATACAAAACACATGAATCTCACTCACCCTTCTGGCTGATGCAATAGCTAAAATAGTTAGCAGTTTGAGAAAATACGATTCAATAGGCTCAAAAGGGGGTTTTGAGAAAACTTTTAAGAACCACCGACAGATCCCAAGAGGGAAAACTCTTCATTGTAGATAGACGATTTGTAGCAGTGGCTTTTAGAAATCTTATCAATGGCTTCTGATAAACTGACAGTGCAGAAATTCGGACTTGCAGAGTATTACATGATGAGTTCCTATCAGCGCCACTCGGCAAAAAATATAATACTGATACAATAGCTGGTTTGTTCGCCAAGTTATTGAGAAGGATCCAGGAAAATAAGTTTTCCAGACCTTACCGTAAATTGCCGAAGTAGTCTCTTTCATGCTGCTCAGCAGTGTGGCGACAACTCTTTCCGAAAGTCCTTTTTTTAGTAGGCTCTCCCTTTCAGAAACCAGGTGGCCAGGTTGAGGGTTTCTAGATGAGAATGGCGAGCCGGCCCTTGTTCCAGAAGGTCTGGTCTCAGAGGGAGGATCCATGGTGATGCAGATGTTCAGCAATGTTGCAAACCAAGGTCTCTTTGGCCACCATGGCGCACTGAGAATGAGAGTCACCTGTTCTTTCACCACTTTCAATTGAACTTTGGGAATTAGCCTGACAGGTGGGAAAGCACATGTCAGAGTAAAGGTCCAGGGGTGGGCAAAAGGTGTCTGTGACAGACCCCAGTTCTCAGGATTCCCCAGATCAGTGGATGCTGTAGAATTTGTTGGCATGGTTGCTCACAAGTCAGATCTGCTCTCCTTGCCCCCGCTCCTGTTGCTCCCCCCTTGCTGGTGTGGTCCACAAGATCCTCGGCCTTTGTTGTTTGCCTCTGCCATGTGGCATGGCAGAGCGGGAAATATCGCTTACTGGGAGGAAAAAATAACTCCTACCCACTGGCGTGTGGCGTCACATCCGCCCACCTCGCCTTTCGACAACGTCCGTCCGACGAAAAAGACCGGAACTCTCCGTTCCTTCTAAGCCTCAATCAACGCACAAGGCCCTCGTTCTGCCTGTCGCTTCGCACGTCCATGCCCCTCTGTGAGGACCGATCTCGTGCCCAGAGTCTGAAGAGGCAGGCAATGAACAGGTAAGCTCGTCAGGAGTGGGGCATCTTGATGGTCTCCTAAGATTATATTGGTTTCTGCTCGTTTATACAAGCTGGTTTGTAAGTACCTTTTCAGCTGTGTGTTTTATCCTTAATAAATCAATTTTACACTATGGAGGCGCTCCTTTTGCTTTGTCCTCATGCTCTTATTCTACATAAACGTACATAGGTAGTAGGTGATGAATGGGAGTTATGTATATGGAGGTTTAGACACAATGAAATTAACAGTAATGATGATTTTGTGTTTTTCCCCAAATCATTTTCTAGGACAGCATCTGAAAGAGGGTCTCCTACAACCTGAAACAGGAAACGCATAATCCACACCAAATAAAAAGCCATCAGAACAAGCATGCCTCAGTTATTTGTGTTTCCTGCAGCCTAACGGGAGCATCACACTGTTTTTTACATGTATTTAATTTGATATATTTAAAAAAATAACTTTAAGTGCTATCACATGGGGGGCTAAGAAACCGTAGAAGTTTACTGGCCCGCTGTCGCGATCTGGCCAGAATCATTTCTATTGTAAAGCCGACAGTCAGCTTTATAAATGTAAACGGAGTCAGCCGGGAGTCTGTTTCAACGGGCCCGTACTATGTACGTCACTGGTCGTGATGGAGTTAACTTCTTTATATTTTAATGATTGTTATAGACATACCTCCATTAGCCTTGGAAGAAGCAGGTCCCACATCTGAGAAACGCATACAGCAATCTCCATTTCACTGCCCATCTAGCAATATACTGTAATTTATTGGGTTATGTGTATGAAGGTTTAGAAGGAATAAAATGAAGTGAGTTGTTGTCGTCATGATGGTTTGTTTTTTTGTATCGTCTCATTGTGGGTACCTGATAAGTCTGATAAGTCCAATTCTCGCACACAAATACCTCTGGTTTAAGGTAGAAAGCCACCGAGGATCATAAATTGGATTTATGAACTTTTAAGGACTGGTTAGTGTGAAACTGTTAGTGTTTAAATATTTTAAAATGTGATTTATATTGGTGTAATATTTTACTAGATAATAGTTTTTTTTTTACTATTGTCACAGATGGGTTGGGGGTTTGGAGTAGCGCTTCTAATAGCTATAGTTGGGGAATATATTAGCATGGTTGGAAAATACAGTAGCATAACTAGTAAATGAAATGTCAATTTTAAATCAGAACACGCAAAAGCAATCATTGGTAAACACAGAAATATATGCATGGGATGAACATTGGAACTGGCGGAACAGATCTTTGGACAGTAGATACGGGTAAACCGAGCGTAGACAGTATACACAAATATTGATGATAAAAGTACAACAAAAAGATTTGTATGGTTTGCTAAAACTAAGCAGAGGCAAGGAGTTCAAGCAGTAGGGAAAAGTTAGAAACTATTTAATTTGAAGAGTTTTGTAGCTTGTTGAAAGTAATGCAGAGTGTAAAAAAAATTGACGAGTCTACATTGGCAAAGACAGGAATTGACAGGGGAGGCCAGGAGCATAGAGAAAAAAGTTGTAATGGGAGTTGCCACATGGGGTGGGAAGGAACTAAGCTGTGTAAGGCTAGGAAGAGGCCAAAGCACACTTATGCAGCACCATTCAGTTCAAAAAGCAGAACTAAAAGTCACAGGCGCCAAAGTTCATCGTCCAAAGGTGTGTAGACATCAGAGCTTCTCACAACTAGGCAGCGCTTGAAACAGTCAGGGTGTCTGAGGTCTGTCATACAGGAAACAGAACAACTGTGCCTCTCTAGTGTAGAAGACTTTGAATGAAAATGTTAGCAATCACTGGCTATCCAAACTAATAGGGTCTTACAGGAACTTGTTGGTGGGGACTGCTTTTAATCGAAGGTCCTGACGTGACTGACATCTGATGTCCATTCAGTGCAGATTCACCTCTGCACGTTACAGGCTTTTTAACATCGGCTGCTTGCGAGTACCTGTCTTGCATGTTTTAACATTTTCACTCAATAAAGTCTTGTACACTAGAGAGGCGCACTTTTTTTTTTCTATTGCCTGTAAATAGCAGAACTAGTAAACCAGAAAAAAAAAGAAAACATAAGAGTTACATTGGGATGTTGGAGCAGTGAGCAATGGGCTGTAGGAAAAGTTCTGGGGACAGTGGAATGAGGTGTGGGCACTGAACTGAGGGTTGATCGAAAGGATCCTTAGAGAGGTGTGCAACGTGTGAGCAGAGGGCCAATAGAACGGTTTTGGTGGGAGATTTGAGTAGAGGTTTGATGGACAAGTGAGTAAAGGGTAGGGCAGTGAGCAAAGGGTTTATGTGAAGGTTCCATGAGAGAGGTGTGGACAGTGAGCAAAAAGGTTGAAGGAAAAGATTTGGTGAGAGGTGAGCAAGGCATAGGCAACTGATCTTGGCAGGGAAGGGATGTTACCCAGAACCAGAAGTTTACAGGCAGTATTGGGAATCATGTCGCAAACACTGACTGCGGGGACGTGCTGTTGACAGCACTTTCCAATGCAACAAAAGAATGTCAACAGTGCATTTCCATACTGCACACTTGTTGTTCTTGGCCGCAATAGGGTTGCTGAGATTCACAAGACCTGCTGCTCTCTGTGATAAGACACGGAGGTGAGAGGAAAGGCAGACTAGCTTCCTCTCAGTTCCTGGATTTTTACTGGACCATAACTGAAGGATATAACTACAGCATAACTATCATTGTACACATACATTCAAATATATGCTAAAAACAGAAAATAAGTATAAAATTATAAGATCATAAAATAAGACCACGATACCTGTATATTAAGGTGAAGTTTTTTCAAGCGCTTCATAAGTATATCCTTGGTGCATGGAACAAAAGCTTCAATATAACCATATACTCCATTCCTGTTGGACGGACTCAGCTCCTGTAGCTGTAACTCTATGCTATCAAACAACAAGACTGAATTAATTACAAAATACTCTATTTATACAAATTTTAATTGCAAAAATCATGTTATCTGCACTTGAATCTAACATTAGAACAGTTTAAATAATTAAAATTTAATCACAGTCTCCTAATCAATGATATAATGTTAATGGATCAGCCCCTTCAGCACTGAACAGCCATCCTACGGGGAACAAAATTTGCGAAGACCATAAAAATTAATTATTGATTCCCTTAAGATCCTGACGCTAGGACTGCATGGTTGCATCATGTTCCATTGTCTATATATGAATTACCAGAGAATTCCCGTTTATGATCTTGACATTTTCTTAACATTCATTCAAATTTTTCATTGCCATATTTTCACTGGACACTGGTTTAAATATTTTGATATCTTTACTTGCAGTTTAAACAAATGCACTGATGGAGAAAGCATGTAAACCTCAGGGATTAGAACACCCTTCAAATAACTGGGTGTTCAAATCAAATCAATGTAGAAGGTTTACTCTGAACAGACAATCCTTAAATAGAGACTGTTAAACCCGTCTTCTAAATTTAAGAAAACAGAAAGACAACTTAAATTTCTGCTGTAGAGTTTCTAGCTAAAACTTGGAAATAATTTGTTCCTTACAGTGATTGCATTGTGTCAGGACCCTCAACTTGCAAAGCAGGTCCCACCATTTTACTAATTGCACTAAACCTCACTCTAGCGCCTCCTCTGTCTCCCACAACCACTTTTTTCGGTTTTTACCCAAAGTATTGTGGCCACATAAGATGACAAGAGCTCGGATTTAAACTCGGGCAGACCTGCCGCTACTGCTTGACCATCGAGTCCTTCACTCTTGCTAACCAAACTCCTTGTTACTCTGAACCTTGCCTCAACAAACTTGCCAAAAGCATAGCTTGCTACAAGATAACTTGCCACCAGATACCTTGCAACAGCAAACCTTGACACCAGCATATCTTGCTACTAGTACTACATTGCAACCATTGTACCACACTTCCAGTACAACTTTGCTTCTTGTGTGACCTGTGCTACACGATACACTTTCTCAGTCACCTTAACAGCTCACTGGCACCTACCCTCCTCTGCATCTGTGAGTATCTATAGAGTAACCTGGGGGTAGCTTGCAGCTAAGTGCAAACTCCCAATCCCATCTAAATCTTTTTTTTTCTCAACTTTATATTTTTATTTATATATGTAAATGCATTCAACAGAAATGCTAACCTATACTGAAGTACAGCAGGATTTCAATATATAATGTGCACATATCATGGAAATATAGGTAATATGATGATAAACCATGGACACATGGAAGCTGCAGATAAGAGGTTAGTGGGACTGATTTTCATATATCCATGGTCATGTTATAGTTATAGCACTCAATGAGGAAACCAGTGGGGTATGTTAATAAAGAAGTAAAACATAAAAAACAAAAAGTAAATTTGCTAAGTAACCAAGATGGAGATATGCAGTCATAACAATAATATGACAAATTACGAAACAGGAGAGATGTGTTTCTTTTGGAGGGATAATTTGTGTGTGTATATGGTATATCTGAAAAACAGGCAAGCTACTGAGATTTTAGTAGGAAGCAATTGAAGTACCAGAAGTGTCCAACTTGAAGTGAAATTCACCTTCCGTACTGGAAAGGTTAGAGTAGATAAGTTGGAAAATAAAGAGGAGTAAGGGTCATTAAATCGGTCGAAATAGACAATGACTGTTGGAAAGCCAGCAAGACCAATTCTTAGTGAATTTGCTACACATGCAGTTGGCTTTGGCAAACAAGTTCAAAATGGCAGTATTACGAATTTCTAGACAGAGGGTCTGTTTCCAGAGTCTCGCTAGTGCTAACCTTGCTGCTATGAGGCCATGAGAAAAAGAATAAAAAAGTACATGATTCTGGTGGGCCACAAATCAATACCTACTCCCAGTAGTGCAAGAGCTGGCTCACAGGAAATATAAAGTACTGGAGAGATGAACTGAAAAACTCCAGACCAGAATGAGGAGAGTTTTTCACAAAACCATCACATGTGACTTAACCTGTTGCCATTCGCCCGTTGTAAAAAAACGGTCGGACGGCAGACTCACATCTGTGGGCTGCCATCAGACGACTTTTTTTTTCTGCTCGCGTGCGCACAGGCAGAAAAAACCCCGCCCGACTAAAAATCCCAGCAATCAATTATACAGCAATGCAGAATATTACGCTACATATGCTGTGTGCGGATCTCACTAGGGCTGTGTGGGCAGCGGGGCTCACCAGGGCTGTTCAAACTTGTGCAGGCAGCAGGTCTCACCATGGCTGTTTGGGCGTAAATTAAAAGGCCTGTATTGACTTTAAGTATTGGTGGAATATTCTACACGTAATGCCATTGTTGAGAGGGCAACTTTCCTGAGGCATGCAAGTCAGTGGAGTTTGAAAAGGAGATTCCTTTCTACGAGGGTTGACGGCCTGAGAAAAAAAGGTGAGTATTTCTCTGATGCAATGATTTTCTCTTACTTCTAGAATGGAGAGGTAATTTCGAATTCGGAGATACTTATAAAAGTCTCTGTTAGGGATTGCAAGTTTTTGGTGTAGAGTTTCTAATGAAACTAAGGATTTGTTAGAGTATAGACTTCCAATGTGGCAGTCTACTAGAGATTCCAAGAATTTTAGCTGAAGATTTTTAAGTCCAAAGAAGACAGGGGAACATGATGAAGATAATGTCAGTCAGAAATAGAGGAGGATGAGGCAAGAGACCTCCAGACTTTGATCGCCCCTGTAGCAGTGTTGGTATGGCTTCTTGAGGTTGTGGCCCAGCAGTATGGAACACAATAGTTTCTTGAGATCTACATTTAGGGTGTTCGGTTCGATTCTATGTGTGCCCATTGTTTTCTGAAAGTCGAGGACCGCCAATGTGCCGCTTGGTCTAAAATAGAGGCCTTATAATATTTACGAATATCTGGAGCACCCAGATCTCCTTGGGATTTCCTACCATATAAGCATACCTTGAGGATGCGTTTTTTTTTGCTGTCACATATAACGGTGTTAATAATTAGTTGAAGTTTCTGGAGACAGTGTGGCAAGACAGGAATGGGTAAGGCATAGAACAGATATAAGATATGTGGAAGCACAAACCTTTTGCCCAGAGCAATCCAGCCAGCCCAAGAAGCTGTGTTACATTTTAAGTCTTTGCAGATATTTTGTACTTCAACTAAAACAGGGGTGTAGTTGATATGAAAAGGTCTGTGGCTAGGGGAGGTCAGATTGATGCCCAGGTATGAGTAGCTGAAGGAGCCCAAAAGAGAGAAGCACCCGTGATTCTGGCTTTAAATTGAGATAAGTTGATTTCGAGCATTTGAGATTTGGAGCAATTGACTTTATAATAGGGAGATATTTCCAAATTGAGATAAAATCTTGTAGTGCAGGAAGGGAGAGTTTTGGGATCGGAAACCGAGATGATCAGGTCATCCGAGTATAGGCCTATTTTATGTTCAATCCCCTCGATTTTAAGCCTCAAGATTTTGGGACAGGAATGATTTTATTCAGCTTAGCCATGTGTATCAAACACAAGGCCTTCAGGCCGAATCTGGCCCCAGACCATTTCATGTGGCCCTCGCACCTTTCCTGCAGCTGCATCAACCCCCTCGTCTCCACCCCTACCTTGCTCTCAGAAGTCAGCAGCAGAAAGGAGGACAGGGCACGTTTGCTATACTGACTAGGGATGCACTGATACCGAGTACTTGTGAAAATACCCCGATACAAAGTGCCGACACTGGCACTTTAAATGTTTAAACCTCTGTAAATAGGCACCAGGGCTGCTGAGGTCCCCAGCAAGGTCCCGGCAGCCTTTCTGTAAATCGAGGCACCCGTTTACAGTGCTGGCAGCAAATCTCATCACCCGCTGAGACCGACTGGGATACTGGCTGAGACCACACAGCCCTCCTAAGACCCCGCAAAGCTACCTGAGTGTCCGCACAGCCCACCATATACCCCGCACAAGTGCATTTGAGAGTCCGCACAGCCCACTATAGAACCTGCACAGCCACCTATTGCACTAATTGCCATTATTTTGCCTAGACTTCTACTTTCAGAGCTAGTTATTACTAAAACCAGTAATCGAGTGCAGAGGCAATTATTTAATATGATAAAGAGTAGATACATTTATATCGTCTTACAGATACAAACGGCCCTTTGAGAACAACCATAATGCTGATGCGGGCCGCGATGAAATGGAGTTTGACACACCTAAGCAAAGAGTTTCATGATGAGAGCAAAGATCAAGGGCGATAGTGGGCACCCTTGTCTAGTGCCATTTCAGATGTTAAATGGCATAGAACGAAGGCCAGAAGACCAGACTCTGGCAGTTGGGTTGGTGTATAGGGCCTTAAAAGTAGAATTAAACCTTCTGGGTTTTTTTCATACATCTACAGCTAGCAAGCTCTGAAGATTCTCTGGCGGCTGCGAAGGATCATGGGGCAGGCGCATGCGCAGTAGAGATCTTCGGCCGGAAGAAGAAGAGGAGAGACACAGAGTAAGTCAATGCAGACAGCCCGGCAGCGTGCACAGACACCGTGGGACACAGGAGACACAGCAGTCAGCGCTGGATCAGAGACTGGCACCAGCATGGAGGGACTCCTGAAAACTACTGTAAAGATGATGATCGGATCAAGAGGCATCATTTAAGGCATTTAATCATTTAGGCATCTGGCAGCAGCTGCAATCCACACAACCTGATTTCTATTCCCCTGCTTCCTAGAACCGGTCCTCCCTTCTCTTGTGCCCTCTGGAATGCCTGCTCTGTCTGTAACAAACTCACGACTGTGCATGATCTTCTTATCTCCAATTCCTTTAACATGCTTGCTGTTACTGAAACCTGGCTTCAGGAATCCGACTCTGCCTCCCCTGCTGCCTTCTCCCATGGTGGCCTCCACTGGACACACTCACCCAGACCCAATGGACGGAAAGGAGGTGGTGTGGGTTTCCTTCTATCCCCACAATGCACTTTTCAAGTTCTG